ATCGGGGGCCGTGGGTCACTGTTACCTGCCACCCCGAAAGGCTCAGCAGCTCGGCCCTCGCCACGCCCGACAAGCTGCTCGCGGACGCCCAGGCGCTCCTCCAGGCGAAGATCCAGACCGATCAGGCCAAGGACATGACCAAGTTCCAGTCAGACTACGCGCACCAGGTGACGGCTGATGCGCAGAAGTCCAAGCGCAATGACACGGGCCTTGCCCAGCTGCAGCAGACGATCGAGCACGGCACTGGGACCTTCACCATGCGATCGGCCCTCGGCAGGCGATTCGAGCGCCAATTGGCAGGAGATGCAGTGCTGAAACGGGAGTGGAACATGGCCAAGGACCGCGAGCAGTTCAAGATCGAGTGGGCCCAGAAGGAGTACAAGGGGAAGGTCAAGACGGATCGTACGTATTCTGACAGGTCGACGGAGAGCTGGCTGGAGTCTGGGGAGCTGTGTTCGTTTTTGATGTTCTGCTACTTGGAGGGCGGGCCGAGGGGCCAGTACGACATCGAGAACATCAGGGCGTGCCAAATCTCGGCACAGAAGTGCGTCGACCTCGGCTTCCCGTTTTGCCAGGTCGACGGCTGGAACGGCACGATTAAGTTCATGCATTTCAAAGTGAAGTGGACGAGCACATTTCAGAAAGTATGGGAGGAGAGGATGCATCAGACCATGGATGCCGACACGGAGATCGCCGCCATTGCCGATGCTACGGAGAAGCCCCCGAAGCGCCCCGTGAAGCTCCTGGGCCCGCTCGCCAAGGCTTCGACAGCTTCTCTCGGCCAGGCTCGCAAGACCATCGCCGCTGCGCAGAGTGTGCTGGCATCGGCGACATCAGTGAGGGGTTTGATCGACGACGCGGAGGAGGGCGACGAGTGGGTCTGGGCCAAGACCCCCAAGGTGCAGGGCGCCATCAAGCAGGGCATCAAGGACCTGCAGACCGCGATGAAGGGCACCACCTTGGCGCACCTGCTCGCGACGAGCGTCGCGCCGACCAAGGCGAACCGATGGGGGGCTACGATGTGTAGGATATGATGTTTGTAAATGGTGATGTCGACGGTGATGATGATGATGATGATGATGCTGCTGCTGATGATGATGATGATGATGATGATGATGATGATGATGATGATGATGATGATGATGATGGTGCTGCTGATGATGGTGCTGATGATGATGACGATGATGATGATGACGATGATGCTGATGATGGTTATGGTGATGATGATGATGATGATGATGATGATGATGATGGTGGTGATGATGATGATGATGGCGATGATGATGGTGGTGATGATGGTGGTGATGATGGTGGTGATGGTTACGAGGAGGGAGATGAGGAGGAGGGGGAGGAGTAGGAGGAGGAGGAGGAGGTGAGAGCAGGATGGGGGGAGGGCATGAGGGGGGGGAGGAGACTGAGGAGGAGGGGGAGGGAGAGGAGGAATAGGAGTAATACCCTCCTCCTTCTCCTCCGCCTCCTCCAGCAAGCCACTTGTGAGCTATCGGTGAGCTCGATCCTCGACCTCGCCCTCTTCGCGTGCATGCGCCACGTTTCCCCCATCCCTCCCCGCTCTCCTGCTCTCACTCATCCTGCCTCTTCCAATCCCTGTCCCCCATGCCGCGCTCTATCGATCTCGCCATGGCACCCGCGTCCCCGCCAGATCAAGAAGCGCCTCACCGAGCAGCAGATCGTGGCCCAGAACAACGAGATGGAGCCTGTCAAGGCTCGGGGCAGCGGGAGGGGATGTGGGGGAGAGCCGCAGGGGCAGGGGAATGACTCCACTATGTGATTGATGGAAGGACGGTTGGAGGTGTAGCGGCGATGTAGGGGGTGGATGGATGGAGGGAGGGATTGCTCCATAGGGAGATTGAGGTAGGGGAATGAAGGGATGTATGCAATGGTGTGTATACATATACGTGTGGATATAATGAGGTAACACACGCAAAGCACACATACATATGTATATATCCATATATAAATGTATATACGTGTATACATATATATATACACATATGTCGGACACACACAGAGAGGGATATAACGATAGAGAGAGGGAGAGATACATCCACGCTCGCCCGCAGGCAGCCACCACCTCTCTGAACACCGTGCTGAGCAACGCCCTGAACGCGAACGACGCCATGCAGGACGCTGACGCCCCCGATAAGCAGAAGAACATGAAGAGGAGTGCTGCCGCCGCCGATGTCGCTCCGTCCGCTCCACCAGTCATGAGGAAGAAGAAGAAGCGTGCTCGTGCGAGCTAGTGCGCTCGAGAGGGGGTGAGTGCGACATCCGAGCTGGTTGGGTTGAGTGGCCGAGCGGCGCGCATGTTTCTAACCTTTAGAATGAGAGGGGGATGGAGGTAAAAGGGACAGGGGGGGGGGCGGCAGGGTAAGCCATGCAATCTAATTGCGAGCCGACGGCGTGTAGCCTTGGCAGGGATCGTGGGCCCTGCTCGTTGCAGGTCGAAGGGGAAGGGCTTGCATGTTAGCGCATTGCAAGGCGAAGCTGTTGCTTGGTCACGCTGGCGTGGATGCGTTTGCACGTCATATACAGCAGCTCTGTGCTGCCGCAGGTCGGGGGGTGAGACGATGGCTCGTGCGTGGCCTTACTTTCTCGTCAGCGCAAGTTCCGCCGACGCTGTGCCAGATGCCAAGCCCAGAACAAAACCAAAAAACCTAGTTTTCCCAGAAAAACACCCCAAACCAGCTGGTGAGCCATCGGTGAGCCACCGGTGAGCCACCGGTGAGCCCCATCGGTGAGCCATCGGTGAGCCATCGGTGAGCACGGCGATTTCACTCGATACATATGCCATGTTATCGGTGAGCCTGGGTGACCCCATCGGTGAGCCATCGGTGAGCCTCCGGTGAGCCTCCGGTGAGCCTCCGGTGAGCCTCTAGTGATCCTCTGGCGAGCCATGGTGATCCGACATAGCTGGGCAATGGTGGCACATGTTTCGAACGACAGACAGCCGATTCCGTGCAATTATCGGCGTGGCGGCGAGCGCGCCTGGCAAGGCTAGGCAACGCGGTTCTCACTCGCCAGACAGCTTTATGTAGCACAACGCCGAGGGGGGCGACAAGTAGAGCAGAAAAAGCGAGATTGTGCGGGCTGAGAGGCCCAGCTGGTATTTGCCCTTCCTCCATGCTTTTCTTTGCCCCTGTCCCAGGTCCTCTCCCCGACGTGCTATGCGCTGATGCGTGTCTGACGGTCTGCTGCGACACGCTAGCCGCCTCACCTTCGGGCGTCTCTCGTTCGCTGTCGCGCAAGTGCAGGAAGGCATGGACATCATGTGTGGTATGCTGTGCTACGCCATGTTATGAAACGCTGTGCGAGATGTTATGCAACACTATGCTACATTGAGGGGGTGACTGCACCAAGCATCCTTGAGTATGTCCTCCTCCTCCTCCTCCTCCCCCCCCCTCCTCCTCCTCCTCCGAGAGAGAGGGAGACAATAATGCAGCAAGTCGAGATGGCAACAGGCGAGGAGGCGGGAAAGACCGAATGGTGGATGAGGATGGATATGATAATGATGTTGATGACGATGAAGATGCGGGCGAGTGGGATGAGGATGATGATGATGAGGCTCATGAGGACGAGGATGGGAATGAGACGGAGAGGTCACGGGCGCATGTCGAATGATGATGATAATGGGGAGGGCAACGTGCATTAGTTTGAATGGGTGTCGCCACCTCTGTTCGCGGCTCCTATGGCTGTCCTTTGCACCGCCGCCGCCATATCTATCGCGCGTAGCTGGGAAGGTCTCAAGACGTGTTCCCATATGGCACCCGACAATAATTCTTCACGCTTCGCGCATCCCCACCAGCCCAGTCAGAAACCATGCCCATGAGAGCTGACGAGTAACTATAATAATACACATATAGTGAAACAAAGCGGGCAGCCAGGGTGCACAGAAACATCTCTAGGATCATGGCGGTGGCCGTGGATTGCCTCTTCGGACCATCGCTGGGGCCCGAGTGGGGCGAGGGGATGAGGAGAAAGATGAGGGGGATGACGACGACGACGGTGGCGAGGATGAGGAGGAGGATGGAGACGATCAGGACAAGGGCGAAATCGAGGACGAGTATGAGGGCGAGAATGATGAGGGGGGTGATGGTGATCTTGGATGCAATCGATCAATCGATGATGGATCGTTTATCTCCGTCCCCCCTCGGTGGTCCTCAAACCAAACCGCCTCTCGGTGCGCTCCTGGGGCCATATTTGGGCGCTCTTGGGCGCTCTCGGGGCCGTCTCGGGGGCCTCTTGGGCCCTCTTATGGCCGTCGTGGGCCGTCGTTGGGCCATCTTGGGCCGTCGACGCGCGCGTCGGGCGCGAATATGTGCGAATGCAAACCAACTGTACTTGCTTTGGGTGTTTGAAACATGTTGGGCTCTTGGAGGGAGAACTGCCTCGTGGCCCTCTTGGGGCCTCTTGGGCGCATGTTGTTAGCTATAGTGAGCCATGTTAGGATATCTTGGGCGATCTTGGAGGTCATCTTGGGCTCTCTGATGCCCTCTTGGTACCATCTTGTGCGAGCAATGGCCCTCTGGCGACTCGCGACCCCCCCCCCCTCGCCCAGGTCCAGGTCCAGGGGGCGGGGGGGTAGGGGGAGGGGTAACCCCTCCATGATGTGGAAGAAGGGGTCGTGGAAGAGCGAAGGGGAACCTCGCTGGGCCACCCGTCGCCCAACGGGCTGGTAGGATAAGCGGAGGCGAGTGGTTGCCCCGCCAGTCGATGTAGAATCGCGCGTTCTCAGCCAAGCTGAGGCGGGGGAAAGGTTGGCACGAGAACTGAAGCATTTGTACAGTTCGGGAGTGCTCAGTGCAAAGGCGTTTTCGGAGCTATGTTTTTATTCCAGCGCCGCTGGCGCAGTTGGGGAGTGCAAAGATTGGGGCATGGAGCCTCGGGCCTCTGGTAGCACTGGCCGTTATCAGAAACATATTGAGGCGACTCTTGGTGCCAAAGGATTGCGAAACGTTCCCCCCGTGCCGTTCGGTATCCCCATGCAGTCCAAGGCCAAGGGAAGGCGGACCGTTCAAAACATGTTAATCAGGCCACTTCACCAACTGTTGCATCATGAAGTCACGAAAACACCACTTGCTAAGTTGGAGATGCAAGACTCGTTCAAATCTCGTGAATGGCCCAGGGTATATCGAGAGCACAGGGTTTATCTGGATTCGGATCCTGGTGAGCTAGTCGTGCCCGTCGCCGTATTTGTGGACTCCGCGCAGTACGGGGGCGCGGCGGGGGCGGGGCGGCAGCGGTCTATCGTGACGGTTTCCCTGATCAACCTCATTACTGGGGTCCGCCACATTGGCTTAGAATTCAGAAAGCACCTCCTGTGCAAGTGCGGGTGTAAGGGGTATTGTAGTTACCATCGGCTGTTCACCGTGCTCAGGTGAAGCATCGATGCCTTAGAGTCTGGGCGGTTCCCTGCGGAGCCATGGGATGGAGGGTGCTGGCCGTCTGGGTGGGAGCGGTGCGCTGGCGTGGCCGACACATATATGGGGTTCAAAGCTGCGTTGATCTATTTGATGGCCGACTGGGAAGGTATCACTCAACAATTTTGCGTCCCGTCTTGGAATCATAAGACACATCCGTGTCCGCTGTGTTCGGCATCAAGTGGTACGATGTATGCTTTCAGGACCCCATGTTTCCTTTTTTGGCCGCAATGTATGATGATATCGATGGCGATGGGGATGCATGGCGGAGGGTGTGATGAGGCGGAGGAAGCGGATGATGACAAGGAGGACGAGGAGGAGGAATATGAGGAGGAGGAGGATGAGGGAGTGCAGACGGATGATGGTGAGGATGAGCAGGGAGGACGCAGCAGGGCGAGGGGGCGCGAGAGGGGAGGGGGAGAGGGGATGAGTGGTGCAGTGTGCGAGGGAAGCACACAGCATGTGGTGGGAGCGAGGGCCTGGGGAGAGAACCCCAAAAAGCAAGCCAGCCCGTATCAAATAATATCCAGGTTCTTGGGGGCCCTTGAGTTGCCGTGGGTTGACCACGGGCCTGATGCGCACATGGTTGCCACAGAGTCGGCCGAAGTGGTCGTGCACGTCGACACAGAGGAAGAGCGCTCAAAACTGGTTGAGGCAGCAGGGTTCTTTTTCAACAAGCGGAAAAAGGCAGGCAGGGGCCTGCAAGTTTCGTTCGATGTTGATGCCCTGAACCCGAGAAGTATGCCCCTCAGAAAAGATGACGAACTCCACCCCCAACCCGCGTTGCCAGATGTTTACGATTACGCTGTATTTGCTGTCCCGTGTGTTCTTCGGTTTTGGCGCCGTCAATCTTCATCCCTTACGAACCATCGGCATCCGTTGCTTTCGGGGTCTGGCGGTGTAAACCTTGTAGCTAACTATGCTGTGGATTTCATGCACACGGTGGCTTTGGGCGTGTGCGCCAGCGTCGTTTGCGCCGTAATCTGGGCAGTTCTAGAGTGTAAGGAGGTTGGGCAGAAAAACGCACCAAAGGATGTGCGACATCAATCTGGCATCTCAATGCTGTCAACGCTGCTCTCTACTTTCTATGAGTCCAGACGCAAGGCTGGTTGCCCACTCAGCGAGGTGCCCCAACTGTCGGAAACCATGTTCGGGTCGCCCCAAAACTTTAAGTTTGGTGCCAAGGCCGCGCAATTTATGGGGTTGTTTGCCTTCTGTGTCGATTGCGTGCTCCCAAAGTTCTCACACTTGTTGAAGGGGGGCGAGTCCCTCACGGCCTGTGCGGGGGCACTTAAGGAGTGGCTTGATTTGTTGGGGCAGTTATCCGACGTTCCATCTGATGATGAGTGCGACGAACTGGACAGGAAGTGCGCGCGTCATTTAACTTTGGTAGAGAGTGCTGGGATACCTCTGAGGCCAAAACATCACTTACTGTGGCACTTATCCAGCAGGACTGCGAGGGCACATAAACGGGGGGACTCGGGACCAATGCATGTAGCGATGCGATCGAGAGCGGAGGGGGCGGCCTGGAGCTCGTAGTTCAGCGTCAACGCGGGCTCCTGGAGCTCGTAATCCAGCGTCAGCGCGGGCTATCACCTTGCGCGGGGGTCAGGTGCCAGGGCCGAGACTAGCGGATCGAACATCAGCAGAACAAGGGGAACTACAATGAGGAAACAACTGGGGGGTCGAATGTGCGTCCGGAATCGGTGAGCCATCGGTGAGCCATCGGTGAGCCATCGGTGAGCCATCGGTGAGCCATCGGTGAGCCATCGGTGAGCCGTCGGTGAGCCATCGGTGAGCCATCGGTGAGCCATCGGTGAGCCTGGTATCCGATGGGTCACCGACGGCTGCGCCGTCGGTGAGCCGTTGGCATCTGGTGGCTCAATGACGGCTCGTCGGTGGCTCGCACCTGCTGCTGCTGAGGCTCCCTCTGCACTCGTGCCACCGCTGCATGCTTGTTCCCTCAACCCTATACTGTACCTGTCCCCCCTCGAAGCAAGCTGGCGTCACACTGTCTGCCATCACCCCCATCTCCTCAGTGCCCGTTCCTCCAACCGCCCGCCCCCCTCATCAGTTCTGGTGGGCGGTCTGGAGGAAAGGGCGGTGATGGGGATAGTAGTGAGGGCAGCCAGTTTGCGATGAAACGGTCGGTCGTGCCATATGGAGGGGGAGTTCATTTATGCATGTCTCCTCCCCCGTTCGTCGTCGTCAATATCGTCGTCAGGATTCGGTGGTTTGGTCACCCACGGCTATACGCAACGTGGCGTGACGAATCCCTCAACTCGTTGCTAGCCAATTTGGCTGAGGCCGTCCACCCCGCGAATTTCGAGAGCGGCATTTTTGTTCGTATTGACATCCAGGCGCAGCTAGGATCTGGCGTCCATAAGCATATCATATGATGGTGTCCCGCATGTTCGCTGGCCTCCTGGTGCTCTGCCTGGAGCAGTGCGTGTCAGCTGCTGTTCCAAAGTGGGTCATCGACGTTTCCGTGGGCTGGGAGGGCGGCTCCTACTTTGACATGTTACAGTTCTGCATCGTCCGTGCCTCGTCCCTGCTACGCTCAGGCCCGTCGGGGAACCATTCGCAGCCAGAGGGGGGGGGGGCATGGGTACCTCGTGCCCAATGTGCTTTCGCCGAGCGGCCACTTCTCAGGGCACTGCGGCATGAGTGTTGGGGGAGGGCGGGGTGGGCCAGATAGAGCGCGCATGTCACAGGTGTCATCATGCGGGACATCGAGTTCTTGCACGCATTCTGCGGGGCGGATTCGCCAGGGAGGTACATGCGTGCACGGGGCCGATCGGTTGCCACGTTTGATGTGGCCAATGACGCCTCAGAGGACATCATGACATGTGCTGGCATGCTGTGGCTCACGATATTGTGCTACCGCTTGGTGCGAGGAGGGGCTGCCCACTTCGGAGTTGAATGCAAATCGTTCTCATGGATTAGCCGTTTTACCAGTGGGCGGTCCGATGTTGATATAATGGGGCACGACCACATGCATAGCGTCAGCGTAGGCAACACAATGGCCATGTACGTGAGCGCCTTGTGCACATATCTTCGCGCACGCAGAGTTTTTTTTAGCATTGAGCAGCCGTCGACATCGTGTTTTAAGCGAATGCCTGCAATCGTGTGCATGCAGGCTCGCACGAAGTACGTTCAGTTCTGCACCTGGTTGGGGTCATTCGGGTGCGATTTTGTGCTAGCCAAGTGCGTTCACATTTATTCACCACGCTTTGCGTCCGCACGCTCTGCCTCGTCACTCCCCCCCGTATTCCCGCGTTCCACTCACACCGCCTCGCCATCCTCATGACCAGCATTTCCTACCTCTGTCATCGCACAGCCCTCAACTCCTCCGCCCTCCATCCGCCGAGATAGTATTATCGGCTGCGCCCGTCCGACCCACTCTCTTCCATCGCCCCTCTGCGCACCCCACCCTCTCGATATCATTCGCACGTCCACCCCGCATCGTCACTCTCATTTGGGGCGGGTGCTCCTTCGGGCACGCCTGCGGATACGAATATCCCGATTGCAGTGGCGACCCTGCATCTGAAGCGGAGGAAGCCCCACCATGCCCGTCCCAAGCGCGCTAAGGAACGCCAGGGAAACGCGTGGGTCGTGCACAAGGGATGGGTTGAGGGTCGGCGGGGGCTGACAGCCTCTGGAGTCTACCCCGATCAATTCGGCAAAGCCATGGCTGACATGGTAGAGAGCTTGCTGGCACAGCGTCTTCCGTAGTTGGCGGCGGGCTCCAGGGTCCAATGCGTGGCGTGCTAGCCCCACCCCTCCATGATCGGTCGCATCGCACGATCCCCCCTCCCCCTATGATGGTATTACTCCTCTGACCCCCCCTAATCGTTCGAAATCATCGGGTAGCTCATGTATCCGAGCTGCATCGGTGAGCTATCGGTGAGTCATCGGTGAGCTATCGGTGAGTCATCGGTGAGCTATCGGTGAGCTATCGGTGATCAATCTAGCCCGCACTTGGACCCGCCGAGCTCTGGTTGCGAGCGCATTTGCGAGGCGGTGCGCGCGGCAGGGGGGGATTGCCTGGGCGTGCACGCACCCGATGTCGACGCAGCCCTCGACCGACGGCCGCGCGTGGGCAAGCCACGCGTGGCGCGCGGAGGCATGTTGAGCCCGAGTGTCCCGTCTGTGAGGCCGAACAGCAGGGCGGGGGCATGATGCGATGCCGAACGGAGTAAGATTAATGTGATGATGAAGATGATGGCGATGAGGATGATGGGGGGGATGAGGGCGAGGATGTGGGGGATGTGGAGGAGGCGGAGAGGAGCGAGGGGAGGAGGGCGAGGAATGGTTATACGGATAGGCGAACGATATTGAACATTAAGAGGGCACATGCGGATGGCTTGTAAGAGGATGGTGAACCCCCGTCGGTTCTCTCGGGCCATGATCCCCTCGGGCATCGGGTGATTCTTGGGCAACTCTCGGGGGCCCTGACATTGTCCAACATGGGTTCAGGGATAACTAGAGGCGCTCTGGAATGGGGCCCCTGCCTCGGGATCCTCGCAGGCCCCCGCTCACATAATGCCCATTCCTTATCCATTCCCCCGCATCATCTCGCCTATCCATGGCACAGTTTTTTTCTCGAGAGAGGGGTGTGCTGGCTCTGGTGTAGAGCCGAGATGGACCTCGACACCGACTCACAATCGATCTCCTCGGAGGTCTTCGGCCTCGATGACCGCATGGAGGTGCAGCTAGACACGGCAGAGGAGGAGGCTCGCATCCGCCGAAGTGCGAACGTGGAGCGGCTTCGCCTTCGAGAGGCCGCCTCTGCTTTTGATTCCCATCTCGAGCCTCGTTCTCCTCCTCCTCCTCCTCCTCCTCCTCCCCTACTCCCCTCCTCGTCCTCCTCCTCATACTCCGCCTCCTCCTCCTCCTCCTCATCCGCATGTTCCGTTCACCATCGTCATCGTCTTCGGTTGCTTTTCCTTCGCCTCTTCGTCCTCATCCTCCCTGCTCTCCCCTCTGATCCCCTCATTCTGCGTCAGACTCGTCAGGCGTCATGGGCAGAGACGTGTGCGGTTCGCATGCTCGCGAACACGTGCAAAGCCGCAGCCCAGTCGAACCTGGACCTCATCGTAATTAAACAGCTTCGGAAGGCAGGGGCATTCGGAAACCCGCGATCGCGGGCGCCAGCGTTATCCCCCCTCTCGCCTCACCGCCCCGCCCCAGGTAGCATCCTCCGAGAAGGGGTGGGGGCTGATAGGAAGGGTGGGGGGCGAGGGGGGGATGGCGCTCGCGTCCGTCATCGCGGGTTTCTGAATCAGGGGTACCTGCAGCGGGCGCCGATATTGCCGAGCCGTGAGGTGTGTTGGCCGACAGGTAGCCTTTCTGTCTATTGGTTGCACCACATAGGATATTGCGTTTTCCCGCAGCTCGATCCCACATGGTGGGAGACACTCTTCCCCGTGGGCCACGCGATCATATATGATGAGCTCGATGCCATGCTCGATTAGGTAGGAGGGGTAGGGACTCGCAAACGGTGAAGGGAAAATGGGGGGAGATGGAAGGGAACGGATAACTGAGTGACTGAACGTAGGGGGGGAGGTAGGAGACATGATGGGGGATCGAGCACGCTGACGGCGCGTGGTGGGAGCGACCCGAGATCGAGAGCGCCGACGGAGCGCCATCAATCTCAATGTCTGTCCTGCCCGACCCCCGCTCTCCGCGCCCCCCTACCGTTTTTTTCGCATGTCCCTCCCCCGATCCCGAAACAGAAAGTTCTTCGAAAGTTAAGAACTTTCTTGGGCCCTCTTATCGGGTCGGCGTGGGCCCGATTGGGCCTATTCTCGGCCCCTTTTAGGGGCCGTCCTCTCTCGGTGCTGGGGGCCGTCACCGCCTTTCCCACCTCCCCCTCTCCTCCGCCGCCGCCGTCGCCATTCTGGGTTGCGCCACCGCGGTGGCGTGCGCCGAAAACCGAGGGGGCCGAGATGGGCCTCCAGAGGCCCAGGTCGAAGACCACACCGACGACGACGACGACGGCGGCGGCGGCGGCGCCTCCTTCGAAGGTCACGGCGACGCCGGCGGCGACGACGACGACGACGACGACGACGACGGCGACGACGACGGCTACGGCGACGACGACGACGACGACGACGACGAGCACGACTGACGACTGCGACGGCTGACGGCGACGACGACCGACGCCCGACGACGCCGAGGAATGACGACGACGACCGACGACCCGACGACGACGACGACGACGACGACCACGACGACGAGGACGGCAATGGCGGCGGCAGCGACGACGACGACGACCATCGACCAATCGTGGCGGCGACGGCGCCGTCGCCAAGTGGTCTCGTGCGTGCACGCGGCACAGACCAGTGCCCGTGGGCAGCGGCGCCCTGCACGAGGCTGATGAGGCAGAGGAGGGGGGCGAGGGGGGGAGGAGGAGGAAAAAGAGGAGGAGGAGGAGGAGGAGGAGGAGGAGGAGGAGGAAGGGGAGGAGGAGGAGGAGGAGAGGAGGAGGAGGAGGAGGAGGAGGAGGAGGAGGAGGAGGAGAGGAGGAGGAGGAGGGAGGAGGAGGAGGGAGGAGGAGGAGGAGGAGGAGGAGGAGGAGGAGGAGGAGGAGGAGGGGAGGAGGAGGGAGGGAGGGGGAAGAGGAGGAGGAGGCGGAGGAGGAGGAGGAGGTGGAGGAGGAGGAGGAGGAGGAGGAGGAGGAGGAGGAGGAGGAGAAGAAGAAGAAGAAGAAAAACACCGAGCAGGACACGAAAATGGAAAGCGGGAGGAGGCAGTGAGCGAGCCCGTTGCCATTTTGGCTCAATCACCCTGTATCAATCTAGCTTGCTCAAGCGACGCGGACGCGCGCGCGAACGCGCGGTATGATTGCGCGAGTGTAAGCTGGATGTTTCGGCGGACGCGCCCAAACATTCAGCCCGATGGAATGCATGTGCACATTTGCGCGCGTGTCCTCTCCTTTTTCATGTTTTAGTTGATGGTATTGATGACGCCACTTCCTAGCCTAGAACGTCACTTGCTAGAGGCCTCTGCTCTAGCAATTACTTCTTGTGCTAACACTTCGAGCGTTAGCCTAGCAAGTCAGCATCCTCTGGGAAGCGGGATCCTCCTCCGGTGGACTCCTTGAGCGGGTCCCATGCCGATTCGGCGGCCCCCGCGGAGCCGCGGAGCCCAGACTCTTCGTGGTACGGAGCCGGGAGCGCCCGCCGCAGGTGGGCGGACACCGAGAGCGATGGCGAGGGGGCGGAGCCGGCAGCAATGGCCCCCGTTGCTGCAAGGGCTGCAATGGTTGCGACGCCTCCCCGCCAGGGACAGCCGCGCCCCCCGCAGGGCGGGGGCGGCGACGAGCGCCCGCAACGTTGGAGGCGGAGGATGCGCCGGCAGCGGACGCTGCTGGAGTGCGGTTTCGTGCTCACGCGGCGCGAGTGCTCCCCCTGGGCACGCGCCTTGCCGCGGCCTGGACAGCTGGAGGGCAGCGCTCCCGCGGGTGGGCGGCAGCTCAACTTCCAGAAAAGCTTGGCGGCGGCTGCCCTGGCGCGGCCACTCGCCCAGGCCGCTCCAGCGAGCGCCGGGCCAGCGGCGGCACCTCCTGGACCGGCAGCGCGGCGGGAGGACACGGCACGTGCTTCCCTCCCTCCCGGGCGCGGCTCGGTGGAGGTCGAGGTTGCGGCGGCGGTGCCTTCGGGCGAGCTGCCCGGCTCGGCCCCTCCCAGGATGCTCCCGGTGGGGTGGAGGTGGGGACCCCGGCTCCGGAGAAGGAGCGGGAGTCAGCCGCTCTCGCGGCGGCGGCGCTGCTGGCGCGCTACCGGGCGCTGCAGCAGGCGGCGCCTGACGCTGAGCCGGTCGGACCCGGCCCGCCATCCGGACCTCCCGTTCTGGTTGAGGTCGCGCAGCCCCCGGCTGAGCGGGGAGATCCCCCCGGGCCCCCGGGCGCGGTGGAGGTGGACTCCCCCGGGGCGCCCGCTCAGCAGCCGACGGCCGAGCGGGCGAGGCCTCCCTGCACGGAGCAGGTGGGGGAGCCTCCCGGGCCAGGCCCGGCGGAGGCGGCGACTGCGGAGCCTCCCGGGCCAGGCCCGGTGGAGGAGCCTCCCGGGCCAGGCCCGGTGGAGGTGGCGTTTGCGGCGTCGGCGGCGGGCGACGCGCCCCCGGCGCCGCCGCGGCCTCCCGGCACGGAGCCGGTGGAGGCGGCCCCCGGGCCCTGCCCGGTGGAAGCGGCGGCGGCGGCGGCGGCGGCGCGCGTTCACCACCTTGCCTTGGTGAACGCGTTCGCGCGGGCCGGCGGCCGCCCCGCGGAGGAGGAGCTGGCTGAGCTGCTGCGCGTCCCCACCGGGGGCAAGCGCCGGCAGCTGCAGCGCCGGCTCGGCGCGGCGCTCGACAGCCTGCCGGACCCGGAGCTCGCGGAGCTCATGGGCCGCATGGCTGCCGGCATCGGCGCCGCCAGACGGCCGTAGGCCGGCGGCCGGCGGCCGGCAGCCGCGGCGGGGGCGCCCCCGCGGCGGGCCGCGCAGGCCGCGAGCTGCGGGCCCGCCTCGGCGCTGAGCGGGCGCCTGGCGGGCGGGCGGCTTCGCCCTCCCTCCCCTCCCCCCTCGTGTCGTCCCCTCGTCGTCGTTTCCCCCCTTTGCCACTGGGCTCCTCCGTGTCGGTAAAAAAAGTGTCTGATGGGGCAGGTACTGCACTTCCTCACGCACCGAGAAAATAACGCGCAACTCCTGCAGCGCTGCGTCAGGCAAACATGCGAGATCGTTCACACTCAGCCTGTCCACGCCCATAGCTCCATTGACCTTCATATGACTGAGTGCCTTGCGAATCTCAGGAACTGTGAGTGGAGGTAATGCTTCGTCTTGCACCCGGGCCCGAATATCTGAAATCCACTCTCCGAATGCTTGTATATCCTTTGTCATGCCATCAACTTCCATCTCAGGTGGGGCCCACAGCTGTGCCCATTCGTGCTGCTTGTGGTCCAGCACGTCCTTGGGATGGACAACCGTGGGCCCGTTGGTGATAAGATCTCGGGCCTCAACAGGGCCCCCTCGAAGCTTGCGATGCAAGGCTCCAACTGCAGGTGCTGCCTCGGCCCATTCTCTGAACTCATGCATGGCTATAGCCAGAGCCCTCCTCAGACTCCGCTGCGCTACCTTCCCGATGAGCTAGGCGCCCACGTCGAGCTCCGCCAACCCCGCGGCCTCGAGCGTGGACAAGAGCTCGCGCCACTGCCGCCAAGCGTAGCGATCGCGATGTCGCAGCGCTTGATGGGCCTGTCCCGGTACTTCGTGGAGTAGCCGATTCGCGGCCCCGTAGAGTATGCGTAACTGCTGCTCACCTCCTTTTTTCACCTCCTTTTCGTCGACGATGTTTCGCAACCGATGTGGCGATGGTACATGCTCGAGCCCACCAGTTCGCCACTCGATCGCGAAGGTGAGCAGCTCTCGTGGGCCGTGCTTGGCGCGCCGTGGATACCTGGAAACTGGGGGCCTCGCTTCTTGATCTCCCAGAGTGAACCTGACCATGATGTGTGCAAATCGTGGCTTCCACAGCTCTGGCCCACTCGCTGTAGAGCGAGCTGACGCTGTCTGAAAAGCCCGAGCCAAGAGAAAAGGCTGCGGAGGCAATAACAGCAGAGGCAGCGGGGTGAGAAGCACCAGGAGCGAACCCAATTTTCCTCCGTTGCTCAACCCACGTGCTGTCGGGAATCGAATATTCGGGGGGCCACTTGGCTTCGACCGCTGGCTCTCCTACGGAAGGCGACCTCTGGGCGCTGTCGGGCTTGGAGGAGCTAGTTGTTCCACGCGGGGCCGAATTACCCTTTTTTTTTCTGTGCTGGGCGCCTGGTTCTCGGCACTCTGAGTGAGAGACTGAGCGGCAGGCGGGGCGGACCCGACGGGTTCGGGAGCAACAACAGAGGAGGCGGGGCGGGCGAAACTGTTCTCGGCGGCCCAGGTGTCGTCCTCCGAACAATCCGCCCACTCGCCGACGCTGTCGCCGCAAGTGTCCTCGGAGGCCGTGTCACTTCCCGCGCCTGTGTCGGCATCTTGGAGGAAACCCTGCCCTTCCCACTCTCTCTCTCTCTCTAGTTCGAGCCCGTCGGAAAACCAACGCTTAAATTTGACATTGCGAGTTTCTTTGGCTGTTTGCTTGTCGAGGGATCGCTTGGTTTTGGCAGGACTGGATTTGGACCCAGGGACAGGGGCCACCCTGGGCTTGCTCACGCGCGGCAGTTGAGAAGGGAGGTCGAGGAAACGAGTGAGGAGCTGGGGCCCTTCAGAGACGAGCTCGACGCTGAGCCCGATATGTGGCCTCCAGGGTACATCCACTCGCGTCTGCACATTATTTACATACGGCCGAGCAGCACGACTGACGACCACATAATCTAGGCTGGCAGGCGTTTTTCCTCCTCCAGGCGTGCACGTGCAAGGGGCATCGGCACACATAACCTCACCATCAATTCTGTCTAAAAAACAGTCTTCCAGAGCTGAGTGGGGCTGAAATTCCAGTCTGCCACTACAAGCCAAGGCAGTTGGATTGCTCTGAGAATACTGCCGAACCTCCTGAATCTACTGACATTCTCATTGTACATTCCTATGCCAGGCAATCCGTAAGACACAACAGCTGCAGTTGAGACTCCTCGCATGCGAAACACGCAAGGCAACAACCGTCAAAACTGTTGCCACCCCTAGCTGTCTTCAAGCCTGTTGCTGAACGGGCTTCGTCTAACAGCTGGGCAGCACGATGATTCTTCATTAGAATCAGCTCGCCTCTTTCATTGGCGTAGCCCTCACCCCCAGGTTTGGACGCCGCCATTCTCGATTTTGGCCGAGCTGGGTTGAACAAGGACCTGAAAGACTGCTTCCTAGCCGCCGACGCCCAAGCCGACGTAGCAGCACGTCCTATGTGTGATTCACATAGCCCTATGTAGTCGTGAACAATGGCGATGTCATGGGTCACATGCCTCCACGCCTTCTCGCCTAGGCATGTCACATTGCTGGAAAAAAAACTTGCTGGTGCCAGTGGACTCACTGGCGAAGAAACCCTGCGCGTGAGACTGATTCACCGCAGTCTCGTCGGTACTTGCTGACCCTAGACACGATCCCGCAGCACCAGCAGCTGCGGCAGCGCCAGGCGGGGCGCCTGCGGAACCCGCAGAAGCGCCGCTGGCAGCGCCAGGTTTGGTCGCTTGGGGTGCCTTGCCGCCCTTGCCGCCGTCGCCTTTGCCGAGGTCCTTGCCGCTTGCTGCCGCCGCCGCCGCCTTGAACCGCACCTCGGAGATGCGGGTCGCCTCACGCTGCAGCCCCTCGGCGCTGGCCTCGTGCGCTGCTGCGCCCGCAGCGCCGCTGCCGCCGCCTCCGTCGCGACCGCCGCCGCTCTGGCCTGCAGGCTGCTGGCCTGGGCCTGGCGGCGGCTGCGGCGTCGCACCTGCGGCCTCGCCCTCGTCGATCTTCCTGTTCTTCGCCTTCATTCTCTCGGTGACCTCATTCTGCACGTTCTCGACGCGCGCCAGGAAAGCCTTGAGCTCCTCATCCTTCGTCTCGAAAGATGCCTTCCACTTGTCCAGCTCCGTTTTGAGTGCCCTGAGCTGGATCTTGTTCTGCTCCTCGCACTCGAAATTTTCGAACTGGTCCCAGACATCGCTATTCATGGTTGTGCTGATGTCCGAAGACGTCTGCCCCTTGCCGTCATTGGTCTCGTCACCCTGCTGGAGCAACCCCTGCGCCTTGGCGAGCGCGGCCGAGGCAGTACGTTTGTTCGCCTCCTTCCGTGCCAGCTCCAACGCTGCTGTTTTTCTTTTCCTTCAGCTGTCTGAAGTTGTGTACGTAATCGAAGTACCTGGCTCACCAGTTGCTCGTGTCGATTGGATGCCGCCCTCCAGGCGCTGTCGGCCTGCTTGACCGCCTCGACCTCGGAGCCTGATTCCTTCGCCGCCGCGAGCACCTCGAGTCTGGCCCGCTGAGCCTAGAGGATGGCCTGCGTCTCCGCGTCGGGCGAGGCCTCCATCGCCTGCTGGAGCAGCTTGTCCAGCAGCTGGTTCTTGTAGCCACCCTTGCGCCCTGGACTCTTGGTCCTGGGCCGAGCAGCTCGATCACTGTCGCTATCCTCACCCTCGAAACACAAAGTGAGAAGAGGCGACCGAGGACGGAAAATCACAACTTTCGCATTACACGCTCCACATCGACACCCCTGCTTGTTAAGAGCGTCGTTATACTCGCATTGCTTGCAGGACGGGCATCTCGGCCAGGGGCGACGTGGAGCGACTCTGACCCTGCTTTCGCAACACACCTGAGGACTGGGCCAGAAATCAAGTGTGTAGACTCAAGCACAGCGTGTGAGGTACAGGGTTCGGACTCTGACCACCCCGCTGGGGATGGTGTTCGAACCCAAATGGCTTGAGGGAGGAGGAGGAGGAGGAGGAGGAGGATGAGGATGAGGAGGAGGAGGAAGAAGTGGAGGAGATGTCTTCTCCGTCGCCGCCGCGACCTCCTGCGGTGTCAGAGGGTGTTCGTGCCACAGGCCGTGTCGCTGCTCGAGGAGGAGACGGGGAGGATCGGACATGGACGCGCGCTAGGCTCCCTCCCTCCCTGCTGGCATTCGCTCGATGCCGGTCCCGCGGCGGTGCCAGGAGAGCTCGGTCATCGTGGTGTCTTGGCTGCTGATCGCGGCGGTGGGTCTGCTGCTGAGTGCGGCGGGCGGGGGTCCTTCCCGCTGGCCACCCCTGCTCGGGTGTTGCTCGGGTGGCCTTGGCCCAAGGTGACCCCAGCTTTTCCGGGGAGGCCTAGATGGCCTCCATGGCACTCTTCACGAGGGCCGGGGTTCGTGGGCAGGAAGCCCTAGCCAGACCAAAAATGGAAGAAGCTCCCCTGGGTTGGTTGGCGATCTCCCCCTTGAGGGAAAACCGAACCAAGCCTGGATCGTCCCCTCTCCTCCTTCGTCTGATCAATCAGGGCTCCCCCCCCCTTGGTCCGATGAATCAGAGGGCCCCAGGGATTGCAAAATAGGGCGAGGAGCTGGGGCACCTTGGGCCAGGACCGCTGCTAGCAACCTCCGATCTGTCTCCTCGTCCGAGCCAGGGCTACGCGGTGCGCTCACGGGGCAGGCGCCCCCCTGGCCCGGTCCGCCGCGTCTCCTGGTGTTCGCCTCGGGCACCCAGTGTGCGCACCGGTTTCGGCCACGTTTCCTGATGGGGGCGTGCTTCGGGTGCCCTCGACAGGATCCACCATAGTCCACCAGGTGTCTATCCCCCAGGAGCGATCCGCCATGACCTACAGAAGCTGTCCACCAGAGCCACCCCCTAGGAGCCACCCAGGCACGGCTTCACAGGGAATGCTCCGAGGGCACCCCTAGAACCACCCAGATCACACTCCCTGGAAGCGGTGTTCCCGCGCGCTCGCGGTGCAACGCTCGGGCAGGGCAGCTGAAAGTCAAGCTTGCGAGGTCGACGAAGTCGCGCGATCGCACTGGAGCCAGGCCAGCTGCGAGCCCGCTGGTTGTGCCCTTGCGCTGGCTGGCCGTGCAAGTCACGCCTGGTGGTAGCAGGCGCGCGCGTGTGCACGGGAGGCGCGCTCAGACGGTCGAGCGATCGCATCGCGGAGGCGTGCCAGAGGTGCGCAAGATGCAGTCTCCGCGCGCCCTTGCACAGGGAGCCGAGGACGACGATCGGCGACCCGCACGCCACTGCCCCGAGTGTCTGGCTGGGGGGGGGCTGAGAGAAGGACGGATCGGCGGCGCGCCTGAGGGGGGAAGGCAGAGGGGGCGGGCCCTCTCCGAAGGCTCAGAAGGCCTCCGGCCTCCCGAGAATCTTTCGAAGCCCTCTCCGAAGACACACACGGCTTCTCAGAACTGAGAAGGCCCGCCGCCTTCTGAGAAGGCCCGCCCCCTCTCACTTCCTCCCCGGGCGCGCCGCCGAGGAGAGACCCAACAATGGGATCCCGAGGTTCTTAGGCTCCCAAATTGAAACGGTCCCAAGCCTGTTGGCGCCCAATGTTCGTTGGCGTCGCCGATTCGCGAGGATGGTCCAGGAATCGACGAGGACTTAGATATGGCGATGACAAAGATCGACACTCACGTTTCCCCGTCCAGTCTTGATCGTGGTCATTGCTCTCTTTCCCTCCGCAGAGCCCACTCGCGTTCCCCGCCCTGGCTCCAGGCGTCGCTGGCGTCGAGCACTCCCCGGAGGATCTGAAACCGTTGTTTTGGAGGTCGGGCCTCCGCTCCGGAGGAGTAAGAGGGCGTCTGGGATGGGGGAGGGAAGCATACCAGAATAGGGGGCGGGCCTCCGTTCTGGAGGTTTTCGATCCTCGGGGTGGTTTCCCGCGCGCTGCGGGGAAGCGGAGCGGGGTACGGCCTGCGCTGGGGCTCGCTGTGGCCTTCATCGCTCAGGGCCTGGCGGCGCGGGGCCGATCAGTGGCGGCTCCTCCGCGACGGCGTCCTATCCCACCTGGGCCTCCCGAGCCGGACGAGCGGAGCGGGTGCCACAAGCGGCGCCCGAGGGAGGAGGAGAGGGAGGAGAGGAGGGCCACTTGAGACAACGGTAGTTGACCTTCGGGGGCCCCGCCCGTCGCTACGGCTGGACGCAGCTCGGACAACTTGTACGTTTGGACCTCGGGAGGGGTCTGGGGACCGAGATTGATCTGCCGTTGTCTCAACTCGCCCTCCGAAGGGAGGAGAGACCTCGTTCTCCCTCCAGGTCGCCCTTTCTTATCTAACGGGACACGCTGGAGACTTTTTTGTCTTCGCCCTCCCTGGTGGCAGAGCGCCGCCTGGGGGGACCGCAACGTCTGCTTGACGGACTTCAGTGCCATCAGCGAGGAGACGGAGGACAATGGAGGAGGAGGAGGAGGAGGAGGAGGAGGCGTCGTTGGCTCTGCCCGTGTCGAGACCCTGCGGCTCCTTATCCGAATGCTCCCCAGGCGAGCAGTCCCGGGGCCTCCCAAGAATATCCCAGAGCTCCAGGATGGAGGTTCGCTCTTCCACGCTACTTCTTGTCCGTCCTGGAGTTTGTTCTCTTCTATTCTGGATGCCCCTGGAGCTTGTGGATCCTCTTGCTGCCCCCTGCGCCCTCCGAGAGCCGCGTGGCCGGGAGGCCATCGGCGGGTGGAGCCACGTGCGGCAGTGCTTCGACCGGCGGGCGATCGCCACGTTCGCGCCCGCGGGCCCGCCCGTCCCTCTCGACGACGACGGCGACGACGACGGCGTGGTCTCCTGGCGCATCGGCATGTGCCTGGGGCGCTTTTTGGCTCCTGCAGTGCACGGGGCCTCCGGAGGCCCGCCGCGGGCTCACCGGCACGGCCGCCCGGGGGGGAGTCGGCCGAGGCCCCGTCGGAGGGGCTCGAGGGCCGCGCGGGGGGGAGTCGGCGAGTCGGCCGATGCCCCGTCTGAGGGCTCGAGGGCCGCGCGGGGGGGGAGTCGGCGAGTCGGCCGATGCCCCGTCTGAGGGCTCGAGGGCCTGGATCGCACGGGCCCAGCCGTCCGCACTGTGAGTTCCACCGCGTGCTGAGGCCCAAGCTTTCCGCCGGAGGAGGAGGAGGAGGAGGAGGAGGAGGAGGAGGAGGAGGAGAGGGCTGGGCCTGCTGTCCCGCAGGGCACACGCGATACTATACTCTTAGTTGTGAGGCCAGACCCCAGGCGCACACCCAATCTGATTGCCGCGACACATCAGTGTTCGAAATTTCTGCTTCTGTCTTGCTTACTTCAGCTCGGCGCGAGCCTGCGTGGCATCGAGAGAGAGAGAGAGAGAGCGCACAAAGACATCAGGCCAGGTTGCTCCTGTCCTTACCGAAGTTACACATATTGTAATCGCACCATACATCGATGGTCAGCATGCGGAAATGCAAGTCATGCCTCAGGGACGTCAAGAACTGGCACAACCGTTGCCTCTGCCATCAATACTACAGTTCGAAGCAGCAGGGGCCACCGATGCCAAGGAGTCAGAGTGCGTGACGCCAGCCAGACAGTGTGGTCTAGAACTGCATCAAGAGGCTTGCTCCGATGCCAGTGAGGGCGGCAAGGGCGCACTCAATCAGCCGTCAAGACGCCCCCGCACGGCAGTCGGAGGTTCAGAATGTTACGAAGGAGGTATATCGTCACATGGGGAAGGTGTCCAACCTCGCCATCATGGCGAAGAAGGCCAACAAAGACGAAAAACGCACGCAGACACGACATGGAGCTGATGGTCCTCACGGCGGCAGTCAACAGCATGAACACAGTCAGAGACCAGAACGGACGTCGAGTTCAAGCTGTACAAGGCCAGGGGCAGGCTCACGAACACGGAGAATCTCAGGAAACATATCACGACGCAACAAAAGGATACCGATATGTAGATAGGACAGCTGGAGAGTGGCATGGACGAGCTCGACGATATGCCAGAGGAACCATAATATGCACTCATGCATCCACAAGGAGAAGGCGGTCAGCGCCAATAGCAGTGGCAACCGCTGGGATTTTTGGGGTGAGGATGGGGCGCAATACATCCCCAGGGTGCACGTTTTTCCCTCTTGGAATAAATATGGCAACACCTGTGGATCCAATCGGACCCCCTTTCTGGGCACGTAGCAATGTCTTGGATCCTATATCTGTACTGCGCAGATCCAATCTCACGTGTGTGAAGAAAAATGGAATCAGGCATTGTTCTGGAACGAATACCCTCCTGTACCCACAGGAAATTGAAACCACAGGGCACTTTACGTGAGGCATCGTGCTATCCAGGGAGCTGTGGCTCTGCAGAACAATGCGACGATTGTACGGGGGAGGGGGAGGACGCAAAGGGATGGGAGAGGAGGAGAGAGGGGGACAGAGGCGGGAGGGGGATATATGAGAACAAATGAGTGAGGAGGGGGAGGAGGAGGGAGGAGGAAAGAGGAGGAGGATGAGGAGGAGGAGGAAAAACAAGGAGGGAGGCGGAGGGAGGCGACAGGATAGGGGGAGAAGGCGGGAGGAGCGGGTGGGAGGAGGATGAGTAGGAAGAGGAAAAGAGCAGGAGGAGGAGTAGGAAGACGAGAAGGAGGAGGAGGAGGAGGAGGAGGAGGAGGAGGAGGAGGAGGAAGAGGGAGGAGGAGGAGAAGGAGGAGGAGAAGGAGGAAGAGGACGAAAACAAGCAAATTGTCAAGGTCGGTAGCTCGATCGCCACAGCGGGCCCAGCCACTTCCCCTTCCCCGAACCCCGTCCATACCACGTGGGCATTCGAACGCCACAGCGAGCGTGGTCATCACACAAGCTCCTCCCCTAGCATGCGGTTGCTCGAGCGCCACAGCGGGCCCGGCCAACTCCCGCATCTCCTCCGATAACATGTGGCACGCCCCGATCCGAAGCAAACGTAACATACATCCGTTCACTTAAACGGCACAGCGCTTCAGACATCTTGGGCTCAATAGGAAAATCTGTCGGACCCACGCGCAGCAGCAACCCGTGACAGGGACGAATAGAGCAGAGCCCGTGGCAGGGGCGACAAAGGCAGAGACCGTGACAGGGGCGATGAGAGCAGAGCCCGTGACAGGGGCGATGACAGCGGAGCCCGTGACATGGGCACCAGTAGGATCTGCGGTGCCGCAGGTACCCCCGCCAAGCTCACCGCCGCCGCAACGGTATGCAATAGGTATTCCCACGGCATTGTTGTCTTTCTTGAACATGATGAGCGACAGGCAAGGTCGGCAGGGTAAGATCATGTGCGCGGTGGACAAGTGGACGCGTGCGCAGTCAGCATCGACGTCGGTGGTGGGGTTTCAAGCGCCCGCAGGGGATCCAGGCGGAGGGCGAGTGCCAGCTCCAGCGACACCAGCGGCAGGATAACCAGCGCCTGGGACACCGCTTGGCCAGCGATCGCCGATATTTTCGCCGAGCCAGCGGGCGCCCAGACAGGTGGAGGCGACGAATCCCCGACACCGTCTGAAGCAATATTGCAAGTCAGGCCCCCGCTCGAGATCCGCAGGGGCCCAGCAGCTCGACGGAGCCGATGGCCACGAAGGACGACCCGCACCTCCAGGCGCATGTGCCCCCGTCAGTGACCCACCCGAAGGTATCGCATCATGTGCGATTCCACCGGAGAGTGGCAGTGGAGAAGTTGGTGGCGTCGCAAATCAGACGCGAGATCGAGAAGGTAGAGACCAGGCATGCTCGGTCGTCACCAGGGTCGTCGGCGTCGTCTGCGGGAGCAGCGGGCTATTCCCAGCCAGAGAACGTTGTCAGCTCGATCAGGTCGCCCCCGTGCAAGCAGGCTGCGATGCAGGCGATGCGAGGAGCGCGAGGCCGCCCAACCACGTATACCCAAAAGACCAACTAGTTTTGTTGCGTCCAGGGATGCCGACTCTGCTCGTTTTTCCCTTATGGATCTTGATCGGTGGCGATTTGTCGTCTGCGTTTAAGGGCGCGGATGAATCTTCTGACGGGGCGGATGCCAACGCGCCCAACCGAAACCGCCAAAGTGATCATTTCGCGGCAGGTCGCTCCGACGACTTGCCAGGTCGGAGCGACGGAGGCGGCCCGGGGCAGACGTCTGACGACATGGGGTCTATTGAGCGGAGCCGCTCCGGCAATTTGGGTTCGAACCGAGCGAACGGTAATCGCGGGGGTGTCGCTGTCGACAGAAGTCCAGAGGCCGCGCGGCTCGTTGCGATCAAGGCTGAGGTGCAACCAATTTTGAGTTCTCTCAGCGAGGGGCAGCGCGCGCAGTTTGAGCCCATCAGCCACCGAGACTTACTTCATACAGGTTTGCTGGAACAGAAGGCTAATTTTTTGCGCGGGCGATTTCGGGCGCCACCGGCGTCTCCGACGCTGCGACCGTCTACTTTTTCACGGGCGGCCCCGCCTTTGCTCGCGGGGTGTGCGGGGGGGGGGGGCATGGGCAGGGCAGTTATCGCGCTCGCGCGCCAATGGTGGGCACCGCCAGGGTGGGGCTTTATAGAGGGGGTGGCAGCGAGTGCAACGGCGTGGGCCTATGTCCCAGCAGTTCTGCCAGCGCCGCGCTTGAGTGCTTGGCTGGGCTTCTTATTTTCTGGGCCCTCGCGGAAGCGCCGCAGCGCCGGGTCGCTTTCGATTCTGATTCCTTGGGCGATATAGGCGGCAGAGAGCTCGGGATTGTCAGTGTCGGACAAGGATAACGCGCAGCGCGTGCAAGTGGTCTGGGGCTTTGTCGGAGCAGGCGCATCGTCGTCGCGGCGTGCGCCGGGGCCCGCGCTGGCCGTGACGCGCTGGCTGACAGCGTGGCTGAATCCGCGCCGATGGGGCTCGCTCGGGAGGTCCCCTGCGCCGCCGTCAGATTGGGTTCGCGCCGTCTCTCCTGGGTTCTCTCGAATGCGGGGGTGGGCGCCGCTCGATCTGCAAGCCCGACGCGCCTGCCCTGCTGCCGTGTTCGAGGGGGGCGGGCGGGCTGCGAGTTACTGGTGCTGCCCCGTCTTGGGCGACCGATCTCGTGGGCGTGCGTGAGTGTTCAAGCGGTCGCACTTGGTCCCGCAAGATAGGGGCGGACATCAGAGTTGCCACCCCCAACGCGCGATCCATTCGTCGGGGGCGCAGGTGGGGGGCGAAGGGCGGGGGCTGAGCCCGGCGGGCCGCCGCGCTTCGAACGCGAATGCGCCGCCAGGGGATCCAGATCGTTGGAATCCAGGAGGGGGGCGGGGATAATGGGGGAGGGGCGGGGGGCGCGGGCGACTGGGTCTGCTTCTCAGCGGGGCGCGGGCATTTTGCGCCAGGAGCTGAACGGTGGGAGCTCCTTGCGGAGCGACCAGGGGTGGGCCCTTGTGCGGGCCAGGAATCAGGCTTGGATTTTGCGCGCCAGCCCAGGGTCGATGCCGCGCGGGATCGGCGCCCCCAGGGTTGGCGCGCGCATCCTTGTTGCGCGCGTCCCGCGCCCAGCTCGCCGCCGCGCGGTCGTGTCTGCATTTTGGGGTCACAGCGGGGAAGCGCGCGACAAATTGTCACCCGGCCTTGGTTTCATTGGTGGCAAGTGCCACCTGGGGCCCGAGTCCGTTGGAGAAGTTGCTGGGGGCCACGGAAGGACGGGCGGCTGCTCGGCTGGTAGCTTGCGAATAGCTGGGTGATCGAGTTTAGATTTTAGGTTGTTTACGCGCTCGATGGCCCTGAGCAAGCGCAGGCTTTCCTTTCCGGTGGTTGACGATAGGGGTTGCAGGGCCGCTCCCGAGATCGAAGTCGACTATCAGGT